ATTGATGGTTGCCAGTAGTGTCCGTAAAATTAGTCAGTTATGGATGATAGCAGCTACTAGTGGTCATCATTACTTTCCTCCATGTCACGAGCATGGTTGTCATCTTCGACCACTTGACTGTCAGCATCCATTTGAGTAAAGCCTTCAAAATCATCAGAGGAGTTTTAAAGGCTTTGTTGGATATTGATGCAGCCAATTTTGTTTACAAAAATTTGTGACAAAATTAACATGGGTTTCATCTGTGTTACATCTTGTGTAGAGTTTAGAAGAATTCAAAATAGCATTGGAAAATGGAAGTTTAACCTTCTTCCAAAGCAGTAGTAAGTGCTTTCCAGTTTAAAATACCAGAAATAACATTGACAAGTGTTTATTTATAGCAACCATTTCAAGGTGACAGAATGTGCCTAGAACAGCAAAGGGAGAGAATTCTATGCTGACAATTTTCGCCTGCAGCATGGTAAAGGTTAAAACATTGCCAAAGTATGAAGGTACTTAAAATAATAGCGATGTCAAAGAAAAACTGTCATACCACCTATTTTTTTTTTTTTTTGTTTTGCAGGCAGAAACATTTGTCTAGTATTGCTTTGTATGATTTTAGAGTTTTCTATGATTACACAATGATAATGGAGAAATTGGTCATTTCTATGCAAAACAAACATTTGGTATTGACTGAACAGTTTGTGTTACTGTTGGTTGAAATTTATATCTTTTTCTTTAAAACTGTTTCTCAGGAAATTAGACTGATGAAATCAGCTGTTATTATTCTTTCTAGCATTGATGGTAGTTTTCTGTCAAACTTTGCTTTTGGTACTGTGGAAAGTTAAAAGCTTGATTATATCATTATTTTCTCTTCTAGTTATAAGTGCAATCCGTATTTGTTGTTGAAAATATTCAAGTGATGTGGCTTTGTTATTTAGTAAAGGTTTTTATGACTTTGTATTGCCAGTCTAGAGGACGAAGGATTGTCTTTAAGATTTAAAGGAATTATTCATTTGAAACCATTATTTAATAATTGATCTGAAAAGATGGATGATACAGATACAAATATATTGTTAGGGTATAATAAAAAAATGCCACAGTGGTTTTAATGTTTCTATTTCAAATACCTAACCATTCAATGTAGCTTTTCATTAAACGTTTGTTTATATATATATATATATATATATATATTAGAGAGAGAGATCAGGGCTACAGGAATATAGGTCTCCCATGGCTAAGATACAAAGACAAGCTGAAGAGCAACTTGTCAGCTCTCAATATACCTCATTACACCTTAGAGCGCTTAGCCTTGGAGCAGGTAGAATGGCGATCAACATGTTTTAGTGGACTCAGCAGTTTTCGATCTGCTTGTCTGAATTGTCTTCAAGTAGCAAAAGCCAGATCTAAAAGATCAGCCAATCTAACAGTGATCTCATCCCACAATCTTCACTCTTGCTCCATATGCGGCTTCCTTTGTAAATCACTAGTAGGTTTTAAGTGCCACTTACAAATATCACACAAAATTTCATAGCTGAATCAATTGGTTAAGTTGTCAGAGCCTCATATGTCAAAACTGACGGGAGAGTCCATTATATATATATATATATATATATATAACTTCAATCATTGCTTTTTAAAACATTGCCAAAGGAGCCAGGATAGTATAAGTAATCGGGGAGGTGGGATCGTTCTTTTTGTAGGCATGAAAGTTAAACTTTGCCACAACTGTTGGTAATGTATTAAAATTAACTAAGTTGGTGACTCATGTTGCAAACGATAATGTAAGGAGTTCAAAGCTGATAGAATCAGTTTTTCAGGTACTCAACAGAGGTTCTCAAGGTGATTTCATAAAGTTTTAAAAAAATAATTAAAAAAAAAAAAAAAAAAAAATGAGAAAGGTCAACACTGAACTTATGGCAAACTAGAAATATTTCTCAAATCAACTTCATCTGCCAATAGGAGCTAGTACCAAAATAAAATGTCATCACTATCAGGAAATTGTCATTTCATACACCTCTACAAAAACATTTTTATAGTGATTTTTAGTGAAACCATTTATATTTTTGAACACTAAGTACTGCATTGTTATAACATTATTGCCTGGCTATGCTGGCCCATTTTGGGGAAAAATAGGAAATTGCCATTTAGTGGAAATAAATGGCTAGAGACACAGCAATTTCTCATAGGCACCACTATTTTGATTGGATACTCTGTAGTACAGACTAAGCTAAATGGTACTCCAAAACATTAATATAGGTACTACCACTTGATTTAAATGAAAAACAAAAAAAAAATCCTTCTTGAAGCTTTTTTTAGCTTTAATTGAAAGCTGAATGATTACATTTATTACTTCCAGTAAGCAAAATACTCTTATGTATTTTCAATAGAAATTATATTGATTAAAATCTTAAGTTTTTGCTCACTTTCAGAAATTGTTTAAATTCAGTCATTTTTGACAGATTTGTAAACAATTTAATCTCAATCTAAGTCATTGTTTTAAAAATCTTCCAAAAATAAAATATATTTTTCTGAAACTTTGAGAAATAGTAGCTAATTTAACATTCTTTATGTTTAAAATAACAGAGAAATGGATTTTTAAGACAAACAGTAACACAATTAAGTGCTTGTTAACACCTCATAAATCACTTGACAAAATGTCAACACTTACAATTCTAAGGAGACCATATCAGTTAAAATATAATTTAAGAAAATGATGGGCGAATACTTTTCTGTATATAATCTTAAAAATGTTGAAAAATGTTCTCCATAATCTAATTTTAGGAACATTGAATTTAAATTGACTATAGTCATTGCCCTTGCTTTCTGATTATGTTGTGTGTATATTAACAATACTTTCAAACGGGTACATTATGTACACGTAAAAAAAAAAAAAAAAAAAAAAAGCTTAAATTTTAAAAATCATTGGGTTAAAACAACTTTTAATGAGCTTCTCAGTTTGATTCATAAACATAATTTTCATTTAATAACAATGTCACCTAACCTCCTTGAATTAATGTAGAATTTTCAACAATTTAAATTAATTAAAATTTTTAAAAATGAAAACAATTCTTGTAAAAAGTAATTATTCATTGAAAAAAAAAAAAAAAAAAAAATATTCTTAAAACAATAGTGCCCTTAATAAATCTTATTTATAAAAGCAATTAAAAGCTTCCCTAATTAACTAATGTCTTAGTTTTATTGCAGTTTTTATTTCATGATTCAAAGCATATTTTTGGTGATTGGGTTTAACTGCTTTACAAAAAAAAAAAAAAAAAAAAAAAGAAAGCTGATTTAAATTCCTCAATGGCTCATGCTTTTTAGCTAATAAAACAAATTTTTGCCCTAAAATTTCTCGAAATTCCATGAAATTAAGTGGTGGGTAGAATATGTAAAAAAAAAACAAAAAAAAACAAAAAACAACTATTTATTTTTGCAAGAATTTCCAAAACAATGTATTTTTCACTGGAAAAAAAAAAGCGCAAAAACAATAATCATAATTCCTAAGTCAACTGCTGATGTAAACAAAACAAGGTTGTTAAATAAAATTTTTTATGTGCTAGAAAGAATTTAAAAAAAAAAAAAAAAAAAAAAAAAAAACTTTGATGTTTCCTCTTAATAATAGCATAAACATCTTGATAAAACTTTTTATTAATTTTGGAGCCTTTCTCATCATGCTATGCTTCCCCACCCCTGCAAAAAGTGGATTTATTTATATCAATAGGTCAGAAAACACATTGTACTGTACACTATAGTTCTTGGATCATGCAAAATATTTCAAAAGTACTAAGCATTATGACAGGATGGTGGTCCTTTTATTACTTTGTTCTGATGCCACACAACTGAGTTTCTACCACCCTCAGTAGAACCCACTTTTTGAATCCCAGATCTAGAATTTAGTTAGATACAAAAAATTTAAACACCACATGATGCAAATTATTTGGGGCTTGAATAGACTTTATGAAAACACACAAGTGAAAGTAGCAGTGGCATCCATTATAGAGAACAGTGATTCCAGTTTACAGCAATCAGATAAGAATAGGGCAAGTCAATTTTGGATTATTCTTGAAATAGTAAAATTTTGAAATCAATTTGTAAGCAAAAATATGCAGAAATTAGGTATTTCTACACAATTTGGAAGTTGGGGTTTGACATGAGTAATAAATATTTTTTTCCAAATCATTACTGTTTTTTGAGGAAACAAGTTTAAAGTTTAAGTTTTATGTTCAAAATCATGGCACTGGAATTTCATTCCTGTGATCAGTGAAAACCTTATAGCACAACCTTATAAAAATGTATAATTTACTGAACCTTTACAAATATGGACAAAATGCATGGCACAAGCAGATTATTAATAAACCATTGTCCCATCAAATAACTTCATTTACTTCAAAGGGAAATTATACATAACAATTTAGCTTATATTATGATGTATATTATTCATTGCAGTAGTTTTTGTGCAATTTTTATTAATGCAAATTTAAAACATTTTGTCTGAGGTGTCCAGCAGTATTAGGGTGTTATATACACTAATCTATATTTTGTTTTTATTATGATCTAAAAAATTTTATCCACTGAGTAGCCTTTTTTGAAATCTTTTTTTTTTTTTTTTTTTTTTACTGTTTTTACTTAGTGAATAGTTAAAAAAAATATTAAATATTTTGCTTGTAGTTATTCATAAGAATTCTTGTTTGAATATATTTTCCAATACAAAAAAAAATGTCAACTTTATTTGGATTTATTCTTGAAATAGTAAAAATTTTGAAGTCAGTTTGTAAGCAAAAACCTGCAGAAATTTTGTATTTCTGCACAATTTTTCAGACAATATTTAAAACTAAATGCTCAAAAATTGGTAAACACTATAAATGTAATTTTTGGTGTCACATCAAACCCCAGTTTTCACACAGAGTGCAATGTTGATTTCCTAATCAAAGTGAAAAATCAACCTGCCCTCATAAGAATAATTGTCAGTTTGAGAGATTATATTTGACAATTATCACTAAAATGCTGCACAAGTTTCTTACCTTTTTATGCTGCGGGTAGAGCGCCTGTGTTTCATGTAGTGAAGATTACGATGAAGAAAGATTGGCTGTAATAGACAAAAAAAGAAAAAAATCAACATTTTAAGAATTACAACTGTAATTACAAAAATATCAAATTAGAATCAGGAATGTTGATCAATTCATTTTCTACAGCTTAACCCATTGTGGTTTATTTAAAGTCAAAAAATGAATTTAGATTGTAACAAATTTTTGGAGATAATGGTTTAGTGATACAAGTCTTACTAATTAACCCATAGCTGGGGTGAGAAGAGTATTCGTGCAAAAGTGAATATGACAAACCCAAAAGGAATTGGAACTCAGCTCTCCGATTAGCAATTCCAAGTTATTATCCATTATACCACCTGCACATCAAAGTTTACAGCAACCTGTTATTCCCAAGTGGTCACCCATCTAGGCAGTAACCAGACTCAATATTGCTTAACTTTGTTGAGTATATGAGAATCAGTGTTTCAACATGATCTGGTCATAACATAATCATGGATATTATGGGGTTAAATATCAAGTATAAAAGATAAAATCTATATTAAAAGATTTCTGGATAACTAATCTTTTTCCCCACCCTACTTCCTTTTTTTTTTTCTCATCCCCAAAATTGCAAGGAGTGGGTAGGGAATGATTAGTTGTCCAAAAATCTTTTAATATCAATTTTATCTTTATATTTAACTTCATGAGATATATATTTTAAAGGGGTGGCCAAATCACCGCTTTTTGACCTTTAATATGCTGCTCGTGGAAATATGTTGGCTGAACTCTTTTTTTTTCATCACAATATAAAAAGGTAAATAACAAAAATTTCAAACTTTATAATTATTTACTGGATATAAATTGAGATCCAATTGAATTAAAACGCAAGTTTAATGTTAATGTGTATGTAACAAAAACTTCTGGACAGAGTGGTCTGAGGTTAAAACAATTTATTATAGGACATTTGATATCATGGCCCCCCTGAAAGAGGTTGCATAGCTGTCTGGCCAGCTCTCTCCAAAAAGGTTGCCGACCCCTGTGCTAGACGATATACAAGGGGTGGCCTAACCACATGCGGCTCTGACCTTTAATATGCAGCTCATGGAAACATGTTGGCCGAGCTCCTTTTTTTCATCATAGTTAATATAAAAAGGTCAATAAGAAAAGTTTCAATCTTTATAATTAGTTACTGGGTATGAATAGAGACTCCATTGGATTAAAAAGCAAATTTAATGTTCATGGTTAGTAAAAAATATTTAAGAATTTAAATCCTAATTTTAATGTTAGATCTGAGGTGAGGCATTGTTCTTTAGTGTCGAGGAAAGGAATGATTTTGGGGGGGGATTAAAGCAATGGCTACAGAGGAATGTCAGAGGTAAGGGGTGAGTCATGGGTAAGGGGAGTAAAGATTTGGGTGTACGGGAGGTGGGGGAGTGTCACATGCCTACGTAACAAAAATGTAGGTGTAAATTTTGTTCATGGATTGTGACTCCGAAACACCTGCACTTTATTGTATGTGGCTTTTACATTAAGCAAATTTGAGCCCTCCTCCTGCACTAAACTTCATTAAAGATTATGAACTGAACTGAAAAAAAAAAAAAAAAAAAAAAAAAAAATTTTGAGGGGGTTCTGAGTAGCCAATTTGCACAACTCAATGCAAAATGTGATGCAGGTGCATTGCTTGAATTTGCCAGCCATCCTAAAGATCTCAAGAACTGTTACAAGACTGAAGTTAGTAAACTGTGTAGTAATTGAGCACTGGTAGGGTGCACAAAGCTTATTGGCAGACGACCGACTTAGTAGGTTTGGTACCAATCATCTCCATAGGTGTCTTAACTGTTTTGTAATAAAGCAATTGTTAGGTATTTGTACTTCATGCCTGTCATAAATAGTTTAATTTGTTCTCTTTAAAAAAGAGAGTACTTTCTATTCAAAAGAGATAGGTTGTGTTTAGCATAAAAAAAATACTGTCACCTCTGGATTTGGACTTCAATGTCCACTTTTATATTTACACATACTACCTCTGAGATGATATTGAGCACTTTAACACATAAATATAGCATATCTTAAAATGTGTGTGAGTGTGTGTATATTTTAAATGTGAATGTCAGTGTGTCACACTTTTCCATCTTTACTCCTAGAGACCATAGCCCCACATATACCATTTTGAAATCAGGCAGACTCCATAAGCAAATTAAAAACATTCCAGGCCGGATCTGAACCTCCGACCCTGAAATTTTTGATTCTCAAGTTTTCAGCGATTTTTTTTGTGTGTGTGACAAATATTTTAGTATGAAAATTTTTATAACTTGGAAATAAATTTGAGAATAATCAAGATTCTGAAATCCAGCAAAATTAACCTGTAAAATAAAAATAATTGTATGGAAAGTAAAGACCTACGTACATCAAACTAAGTGGCAGCAGAAGAATTATCATATATGTCATTTATATATAAAGACAATCATATATATATATATATATATATATATATATATATATATATAAATGACATCATATATTATGAAAGGGATGGAGTCCAACAATTATTTTACTATATTTTCTGTTTATATGTTATTTTTATAGATACAAATATTTAAGTAAATGCTCTGTTTTATAATAAACAGTATTAACAACATTTACCAGCCTGAATGTCCAAGAAATTTTCATAGAAAATATGCGTCCACCGACCGGAATTGAACCTGTATCCTATATGGAACAGTCATATAGCCTGACGTGCTTTTACCGATTGAGCCACAGAGGAGTATTTCGGTTAGCAAGGTTGATTTTACCGTTTTTAAACTACAATTCTCCATGATTTTCTCATGTACATTCATATCTGCTCGATGCAGTATCCAAATGTAAACAAACGACGTCACACATTATGAAATGGACAAAGTCTGACAATTATTTTAAGACATTTATGTTTCCGTTTTTTTTATAGATGCAAATATTTAAGTAAATGCTGTTTTATAATAAACAGTATTAACATCTAACAGCCTGAATATATATAAGTTGAGTTCAAATATGAATTGGAATCTGACAATAAGAGAATGAACAAATAGGAAACGTTTAATAATTTATGGCGTTCTGAATTTTATAATTATGCTTGGTATCCGTTAATTTCATGGAATTTTGAATGGATGCATCATCTCTCCTTGAATTCAAAATGCCATAAATTATACTAACATATGTTTAACAAGTCGAATTCATGTAAAAAAAAAAAAAAAAAAAAAAATTAATCAACAAGAATCAAACACAAAATTAAAAATACCAGAATGTTTTTTTTCTCCATATCTCATTCTCTGATGAAACTTTAATAAAAGTTAAACGTGTTAGATTGAAAAATGTTTTGTATCTATTCTTTATCATATATCTCCAAACCAGTTTTATTAATAATAATAAAAAACAAAACAAACAGATGAGGTCTGTGTTTAATTATTATATTTTTCCAATTTTCAGATAAGATGTTGAGGATTGCGCTCAAAGTTGTGGATAAACTGTCCGTCCATATTTTATTCAACTACTTTTGACTATTGCAGTCATTATCAAGAGCCTGTAGGGCATCTGCATGATAGTTAAACTTGTTTGGATGAATGATTACTGCCTAAATATATGTTTTATTTTATATATGTGGGCACAGGCCAACAAGTGCTAAGAATGTCTTACACTTGAATGCAGGGCTGTATAGTCAGAACACAAAACCTTCAACTCTGACACCTATTTTTGGTACTCCTGACACCTCTTTATATAATTGATTATGGCCTACACATTTCATGAACCCTATTCATACACTCCTAACTTGAGTAGGCCTAGCTCATTATAACTGGTTTATATTGTGGCTCTTGTATCGTACCTATTCATTCTTCAATACTTTCTAAGAAAGGATATAAAACAAAACTAATTTACATTATTGTCCACATCTTTGTCACCATATTTATTACAACGTTTCGGCCATTGTACACTCTGGCCTTCTTCATGTGGTTGGAATGTTGAACTGAACCCTTTATTTTGCTCACTGGGGTAGACTGTTCTAGTTCCACGTGCCATGTTTAATGGATGTCAGTTATCAGCTATCTCCTGTTAATTCCCCTCTCCAAGTTCTCCACTGCCTTAACTGGACATATGGCACAGTGGATAAAGGTGTTAATTAGATCCAGTGACAGGACACAAAGAGTAGGAGTTCAATACCCAGTTAATATTTATGAGATAAAGTGCTCAATATCAGAGATAGAGCGTATGTAAATATAAATAAAAAAAGTGAACATTGAAGTCAACACTCAGAGGCAACATGCCGTTTCATGCTAGACGAAATCGTCAGGCCACGAGTGCCAGAATTTTTCTCAACTATTTATATATATGGGTCAGTGGTGCATTGTCAGTATTCCATTCTGGCGGGAGTGGATTGTTTTAGTTATTTATTTATGACATTACTTAAAAATCGAAAACCGAAAAGAATAATAATTATAAATAAAAATACGTAAAATAAATTAACCCCAGTAAATAATAAACAAATTAACAAACCATACCTGTTAGAATAGACAAAATAGAACAAATAAAAAGAAAAAATAAATACATAGATTACAAGTAAAAATAATCAACCCAAATAAATGAAGTAAGCAATGAACAAATTAACAAACCAATAACTGTTAGAATAGACAACAATCAATTGAAAAAATTGGATGATAAAATAGCTATAACTGCTATATAACGTTAGAACTAATAAAAATAAACATATATAAGCAAAAACAACTAAAAATAATCAATCCAAATAAATAAAATAAAGTAAAAACTGACCCCCACCAATCACCAAAATAGCAGAATTGACTATGGCAATCAAACCAAAAATTTGAAGAATAAATCACTTTATCTTCCCAGACCAAAACAAACTATTAAATAAGTAACCTAAACAAACCCCCCCCACAATTTTTTTTTACTATGTTAATAAAACGTCAAAAACTAAATATAAATAAAATAAAAAATAAAAATAAAAAACAAGTAAAATAAATTCACCCAAATAAATAAAAAAGCCACTCCCACCAAAATAACCACCAGAATAGATTAC